TCGGCGTTGTGTTCGGGACGACCTCAACCATCTACGCGGAGTTCACCGCCTAGAGAATACGGAGGTTGAGGATCCGAGTGGTGAGTTTATATAATATTCAATAACTAGTGACAGGAATAATATTATTACTATTGTTAATCATAGTAAGAGGGGATTTCATGAAATTATGATCGCCCGGATGTCATATATATATATATATATATATTTGTTTTTTTTTTTGATATAAAAGTTTCCCCTTCCCCCCATCGGTATATTTTGTTTACTTGCGCAAAGGATAGTTAATCCAGTATTTTTTTTTTGAACTCAACCCACGTGGTTACCCCTGTTGCTTTGTGTAAAAGACGAATACTATGGCGTAGTGGAACCTGGGGGGTTTAAAAATTGATGAAAGTGAGAGCATGTGCAATCATTTCAGTAAAAGACATCATAACACACAAAGTTATCAATTCGTACTAATAAAAGCTTCGTGTCGTATTCTCCTAGACTGGTGAACTTTGGTCTGTGGATATTTTGTTTTGCATGAAATCCAAAAGTTTTTTTCCTGAAATCGATAACTTTTTTCTTTCGGTTTTCAAGTTACATTGTTGTATACACTGAAGCTATTTGTAGCTTCCTTTTCTTTAACATTAATTTTATTCAATTGTTTTCATGTTGTCTCACTTTCTTTTTGTGGTGTGTTAGTTGGAATTTAATTCCTTACATTTAAAAATAATAATGTCAAATGAGCAAGTATATACTCTTGCGTCACAATAAGTAAAAAGCCTATCCTCCTCCTGTTCACACTTCAAATGGTGATGAATACACATCTCACATGTGCTTTTCTATTGCTTGATAGTTGCACTTCTTTCCCTGTATTTTTTGATTGTTTTTTTTTCAATATTTCCTGCGGTTTGGATCCGGTATTTGGACAGTATACATCTTGTGTTTATCTACATCTAAGAATGCCTTTGCAGGGTAGGTTTAACACGCGAGCGTTAGAATACAAAAATGATCGATTGTTTATTAACCTTTTTATCTATCCCCCTTACACTATCGGGAGCGCAAGGGAAGGGATTAGTTGATTCTGGCTGAAGGCTCTCATGGATTATGCAAATCTTGTGAGAGAGCTATCGAGATTGAGGTTTCTTGAGTCGGAATTCTCGCTTATACCCTTCTTGCATGTGACCTTTTTATTGTTGCTGAGACGCTA